AGTCCTTAGAGCTTTAATTTAGCTGTATTCAAAGACTTCAGCTTCTGTATCTGTTGACTTATAAACTCATGATAAATTCTCGAACGTTTAAAATGACAATAAAATGTTTATCATTTGAAAGTGTATTTTTACATATTAATTACTCTTATTCGCCTATATAATTTTGCAACGAAACCCCAAATATTGCTAAGGTTTTCAACATTTCTTTATCAATGTTATACGGATTGTCATTTATATCCTCTTCAATTGTGCCCTAGGAACCAGAGTCTGGATTTACTTGTTCCAATCTAGTTTATTTACGGCGTAAAGCGCCTTCCTTGAGCCCGAAGGCCGAAACTCTTCCATTGTTAACATTCACTATATTTAGATTTAATGATGATTTGCTAATCAATTATTAATCATTAATCCATTTGTAAACTTTTATATCACCAAGAACGAAAATGTGTAACGTTCGAGTTTAATGTTGGAACTGTTCAGAGGTCTTCAATTGCCGGTTCCGCCATTGAATCCCAGCAAATCTTTGGCAAAATCTACWGTCTGGTGTGTTAACCACTTACGTTAAGAATTTCAAGAGATTTTTGTCGTAGTGTTTATCCGAATGCTTTAATATGATGTCCGTATAAGAACTGTACACCTTTTCCTGTGATGATTTGGAAAACAATAACGACAATTGAACAGCTCGGTGAGAGCCGTCACATTACATCGAGTACATCGGTATTCGGCCGCCAACCAGCACTCAGCACCCATCCCCACCCCCCATCAAATAATAAATCCACTGAAGAATGATTAAGCAAACGATGTATCGTTTGAACCTCGTTTGAATAATTCCTGAATTGACCTCTGATTGGCTCGCTGTTCCCTAAGGACTTTGGTGACGTCATATATTAGCATAGAACTTCACCGAATAGACTACCCCAATTAGATATTAGATATATATATAAGTGTCTTCATAGTACGATGGTCTAAGAGGGTAGCTAAAGGTATGCTCTAGTGGGCGGCTACCTCCTCACTCCCTGGCCTTTTGGTTAAGACTAAGTTTTATGTTCACTCGGGATAGCGTGGAAGAGCCGAAATCTCTAACCGTAACGTAAGCCGATTCGACGCCTCAGCTTCATAGAATGTCTCGGGGGAATCGTCCCATCTTTTTAGCTTTTTTATTTTCATTATTTCTTATGTATTCCGGGGGGTGCATCTTCTGCTGAAGTGAAAGTCCTGAGTTCGAGTCCTGCTTCTGTAATTTCTATTTTTTTTTACTTGTTTCTTTTTCGTTTGGTTCTTGTTTTTCTTCTTGTTTTTCTTTTCTTGTTTTTCTTTTCAGTTTAAACAGCTAAATTTTGGCAATTTTCTCAGTTATCAGTTAAATTTCTTGGCTCTCAGTTAAGGTTACTGCTCCCCTTCGATAGAGTTTCGATTTAATTATAAAAAATTGGATTTTTTAGTATTAATTTGTAAAAAAAATACGTACTATTAAATATTATTACAAACCAATATATGTCATAGACGTTTAGATTATTGTGTTACCTTTAAAGCGATATATAATATGTTTAGGTATTATTTTTATTTTTCAGCATTTCTTTATCAATGTTATACGGATTGTTATTTATCTTCCATTGTTAACATTCACTATAAGTAAATAGTGGAAAGTGTTGTACACATTTAATGTTTGTACTCTACCATAATTTCCCGCTACGTGCGAACAGGATCTTGTCCTGAGTAGCCGTATTATCGGTCCCTTATTACTCCACACAAGACAGCCCCATCTGGCTCGCGATTACGTCACGGCACATGTTCTCAAAGGGAATGCAAAACAGCGCTCTATAACTTCATCTACTAAGAATATTGGAAATATAACAATAGCAAGACTTTTGAGTCAGTGAAATATTTATTATATAATGAACTTTWGATATATTTGTGAGCTTCTTATTTGTACCTGAAACTCCGATATTGGCTGTCAGCGGTTGCAAGCAAGAAGAAAATAATTTCTACATCAAAAAAGGAACTAATGAATTAGCTGCTGTTCGGCAAAGTCAACATGTTGAGAAGCCATTTTCTACTGTACAATACATGTGACCAACCATGAAGCCCTTGTATTTTTCAATAGYCTCCTTCACGGTTAYCTGCGCCATCTTGAAAGGTAGCCGTGCCTTTACATCGAAGCGAGACAACCATTGMGCATGCAATGATAGATACCTGGGAAKAATTGTCTGTAKGTGTGAAAGAGGGTTTCTATCATTGCACGCTCAACTACGGTCGTCTCGCTACGATGCAACGGGATGGCTACCTTTCAAGATGGCGYAGGCAACTGTGAAGGAGACTATTTGCTAAATTTGTGTTTCCATTGTGTTTTTAAAAGCACTTTTGGCCTCTTCTATAAATAAAGCATTCTGGGATTATTTTCAAGGCGATAAAAAGCGCTGTATTGATATAGCATAACGCGTTGCATTATGGTCTAGATTCGGTCAAACGGCTCTTTAATTTGTTAATGTAGCCAATAATATGKCGTTGTTTACCCTGAAGCTAGACCACAATGCACCATGATTTTGTATTTCAGAAAAGGACAATGCTGTCTGCTAGAATTCAGCTTTGCAATAAAAACAAAAAACAGCAATATTATCTAACTCTAAGGTAAACTTGTTTGTACACTGAAAACGTTCTGAGAATATATGATTGTAGGGCTCACTAAGGACATTCCAGCATTCTTTCCTTGTTCATCTAACACAGGAAGCCCGAAGCTATTGATAACTGTTKAGATTCTTTCTGTTGATTTCCTTACTAGTTCTAAGTAATATTTTTATTCAATAAATGGGATTCCTGTGCTTTTCCTTCATTACAAAAGCACATAAAAGACCAATCTAAGCTGTTTTGTTCTATTTTCCTCTGACTTTCATTAAAGATCTACAACTCACGTCTTTACTTTAGAAATGGTCGTCCTGTTTAAGATCCATTAGAAGCCCAAGAACCACGATCGTTGCATGTAGTTACCGACTAACACAGGAAACCCAAACCCAAGTTATCTTATTATTCCCTTACTAACGAAGTAGTGTGTTGATATTAATTGTAATGTTCTTTGGACCCAGTCATTGTATATTAGCTGTTCTCAACAGCTCTCAGGACACATTTGACAGTRTAAGCAAAAGCRGCAAAGCCCAGCAAGACACAGAGATTGACTAACGTGCTTCCCATGATGCCATGGTTGCCTCCACTTGAGTTTTCAGAATGAAGCGATGATGAAATATGTTTTGACTTGTCTGTTAATTCTCCTCTTTCTTTCATTTTTGTTTGGATTTCCTGTGGAGCACAATACATGTAATATGTATACACCCTTTTAATAAGTCACAAGGTATTGCTTTCTTCGCACTTGAGGTCATATTTATTCTTTTGAAATTTTTACAATACAAAAGGAATTCAAAAGAATGAATTTGACGTCAAGCGCGGAGAACGTAATACCTCGGGACTTATTAAAAGGGTGTATACAATCTTAACATAGGTACAAGTTCTTGCAGTGAGCCACCATGGAAGGAATGCACRTATTTTGTGGTTTAACCACAGGTACCCCAAGCACTGGACTTCACAGGAATTCATTGAGAGAAAACAAAAAGTTCAATAAAAGCAGTAAAACGGAATAAAATTTCTTTCAAAATAGAACATAGTTTTCTAGTTCAGCTCATTATGGTGAAATTACCCCTGGTTTAACATATTATGACAAGGTTGTTGAGAAAAATAATAAGAATACTTTGTTCTAGTTTGAAATAATKTTATTCAGTTTTACTGCTTTTATTGAACTGTTCATTTTTCTACGTCAAGTTCAGTGCTTGGGCTACCTGTGGTTTAACTTTGTTCAAAAAGTGCCTT